AAAAAAAAAAAAAAAAAAAAAAAAAAATATATATATATATATATTGTTTTTTGTCAATGGTAATACTAAATGCAATTCAGTGTAATATGAGTTAAAATTAAACAATTTCCATTATGATTTGGTGTTTTTGATTTGGTAGTTGCAATTTGATTGCATTTTGCTTTTTTTTTTTTTCTTTCCTTGCTGTCATCTTTATGAACAAACCTGAGAACCAAAAATGGACAGGAGGGACCCGTTGGTTGAAACCCCTTGGCTGGTGTGTGTCTATCAGAGATGCATGACGCTTCACAAATTGGCTTGACATCACTGCCTATTCAAAATATATAGGCAATTTAGTGTTCTTTCATGGAAAAATTCAGTTTTATGACATTTTAAGAAGACAAATCTCATCTCATTTATGTCCATGTCACAGTTTTGTGCAGGAGGTCTCAGGTCTTCGATAGTGAGAACTGAGTCCCCCACAGGACTCCTGTATCGTACAGTAAAATCAATTCATGACTGTAGTGTAGCCACAGCTCCTGTTTAAGCTCAGCTGACAGATTCGACTTGCCTTTTAACAACTGTATTGCATTTATGGCCAGCTCAGTCTAAACTTGAACGGTTCATACTGCATTGTTATTTTTTAATCCTTTGCTGTACTAAATATACAGTACAAGTATAATTCTCCTCAACAAATAGCAGTACTCTGATTTGTTTTCCTCACTACATTATATTCATCACTAAATAACTATATATGTATAAATATGTATGTATAATTTTACCTTTATAGTAATTATCCTGTCATTTAACAGACACTTTTATCCAAATTGACTTAAAGTACACTAAAAAAAGGGTAAATCCACCTCAAGTCTATTTAAGATTAAGCATCTTGCTGAAGAGCAAAATTATTCATGCCAACTCCTTATGATGACGGAATCATTTGCTTACCAGCATTTTCCAAAATTTCTGATAACCCTTAATAAGTACACAGTAACAAAGCATGGTAACACTTTCATAAAGCTTTTATTTGTATCATTTTTTTTTTAATGAACACAAAGCCTTTATATATGCATTATTAAAGTAGTTTTAATGTATTAATTATTGTAATGCATTGTGTCTCATGAATAGTTGTAATTACATAATACATTAAAATACTTAAATATTCATTGTTACACATTAAAAAAGTATAAGTATCTTCATTACGAATACCTTTATAATGCATTATACATAAAAGCTGCAAGTGAAGTGTTATCAAAAAACCCTTATAAATAATTTACAAACTATTAATTTATAATTAATTTATAGTACATTTATAGAAGTAATTTATAGAAGTAGTTCTCACTTTAGATTAGGTCACAGAAAATACTAAAATAAAGGCAATAACCTATTGTGTTACTAAAATGTTTACAAATTAATTAATTAGGTATACATGTCTGTGAATTTACTTTACACATAAACATTCAACGAAACGGCGTCACACACCGCAGCCTTGACTGAGCGGAGGACGGAGGCCTAGAGTGAGCGGCGGCGGGCGGGCTTGAGAACGGCGCGGCCAGCGGATTCGACGAAGGAGCGCCCAGCAGGCTTGTGGCAACCGCACGTGACGACCCCTGGCTGGACTCCGCTTCATCCACGGTGAAAGCCGATCCGTTTATACACCAAGAGCTTGTAACACTCCAAAGAGAAAGGAAACATTGAAATCGCATCATATGACCCCTTTAAAAAAATTGTATATAGATAGATAAATTCATATGCTCTTTAAACATTGTTTCATTTGAGAAAATGAATTAATTGATTCCTTTATTGTAATAGAATTTCTGAAGTTGAATTGCATTTATTGAATTACTGAAGTTATTTAATTTATGGAAGAAACCAAACTTAATATTGCAGGAAAACCAAATAAAATCATTGGTTTGTGGTGTCACTTATTACAACAAGTGTTGCTTTCCTCTTATCTGACACCACATCAGGCAAGCACTGGTGTTGTTCACAAGTCTTATGATGTCAGTTTGTTCACCTGCTAATCTTGAATGTTATGAAGTTTATTTATTAAATCTAAGACTAGTTGTTGAGAATAATTGATGTTTCTGATCAGGAGCATACAGTATTTGGAAAATTAGTGCTTTGTTTTACTTTTTTGACTGCAAATCTAGATTATGGAGTCATGTGGATTGCTGAACAGTTTCAAATCTCAAAGAAAAAGATATATAACCTGAGATTTTATTAAAGCTTGATCAAGTTCCCTTAAGGCTGCACTGTGAGTTGCTTTACTTTCAAGCTGTTTTGCTAACACAAACTGTGTCTTTCTTTCTCAGAACGTCAAAAGGATCTCTGAATATTTGTGGTGTCATCCTTCGATGTAATATTGAAATATGATACACTTTAAAATATGATGAAACGTTGCATCTAATAGGAGTCATTTTTAGTACTTTAATATTTCTAAATTACTGAAGTTAGTGCTGCTGAAAAAAAAATAAAGCTAGCCTAATGTGTTTTTTTGGTTTGGGGTGTCCAAAGCCACTCTAAAACTAGCAAAAAGGACTAGTTAACCATCATAGGCCAGTTTAGGAACAGTTTTTCAGCAGGGCTGAGATCCCCCCTCCCCCCAAAAAAAAAATTCTAAACACTTGTGTTTGTATCATTGTATGTATCAATGTAAGTTATAAGTTATGCTAATGTTTTTGAAAGAGTCTCTTCTGCTCACCAAGGCTGCATTTGTGTGCTCGATAATACAGTAAAAATAGTAATATTGTGAAATATTATTACAATTTAAAATAACTGTTTTCTATGTGGATATATTTTATATTGTAATTTATTCCTGTGATCAAATCTGAATTTTCATCATCATTACTCCAGTCTTCACTGTCACATGATCCTTCAGAAATCCCTCTAATATGCTGATTTGCTGCTCAAGAAACATTTCTTACTATTATCAATGTTAAAAACAGTTGTGCTACTTCATATTTTTGTGGAAACTGTGATACATTTTATTTTTCAAGATTCTTTGATAAATAGAAAGTTCTAAAGAACAGCATTTTTTTGAAACATAAATGTTTTGTAACATATAACATGAATACAACTTTTAATTTGTTTATAAAGTAACATTTTACTGACATAAAACTTTTGAACTCTAGTTGTAACGGGGGGAGTGAGACGTGAGACATGTGGATCCATCTGCATGTTTTTATTAGACAGAGACGTGGTCATAAAACAGGCATGGGTCAAGCAGTGGCAAACAGGTACATTTCAGGCAAGACAAAAGGGTATCCAAAAGAAGGCGTGAGTCAGTCGACGGTGAATGTAATCCTGAGGGCAAGGCAAACGGGGAATCCACAAGACAAGCTAGAGTCCAGGTCAGGTGCAAACACAGTCCGAAACAGCAAGGCAAAGGTTAATTCCAAAACAGGCTATAAACTTCAGGGCAGGCAGAGATCAGACAAAGCGAGATAACAGGCAAGGATCAAGACAAGGGTAAACAGACTAAGAACAAGGCTATACTAGATTCAGGAACTTGGAATGGCTCCGTAAAGTAGCTATCACTAGATGAGCGATAAACGCTAAACAATACTCGGTGGGTGTTATATAGTGTGTGTGATTGGTCTCAGGTGAGCGTGTGATTAGTGAAATGGATGATGGGATATGTAGTCCGGGATGACATGCAACAGTTTGTGTAGTGTGAGAGTCAATGTAACGGAAGGGTGACCTCTGGTGGCAATCGGACGGAAGTCCATGGACATGATTCGTGACACTAGTGTAGTTTAGACTGCTTAAAAAAAACCTTTGAACTTTTTGGCTTTCCATATACCAATGTATTTTATACACTGATAAGTTGATATTATTCCCTCATCATGCTTTACTAAAAGAGTTTTGCAAGAACTACAAGGTCCAGGCAAAGTATGCAAACTCCACTTTGCTATGCCTCTAAAAATTACTTCTGGAGGGAAACTCTGACCACAAAGCACCAAAATAACAGGCTATGCTAATTTCTGGGGTCGTCTGCAGAATGGATCGCTGCACCATAATTTAAATGAGCTTCTATGCAGAATAAACTGCAGCATGCTTCTGATTTTGTGCCAATAGTAAATCACTAAATTAAAGCTCTGAATGCTCTTCATTGGCCGCAAAAAATACCAGTCATGCAATCTTTGGGCTTCACAAAAGCATTTGAGCCTGTTTCTTTCTCCCTCCTGTGCTTCCTGTCCTGTTTTGTATGGATGACCATTTCTCTGCAGCGCTACCATCTCAGTGTCAGCGTGTTAGTGCTAATGTTGTGTCTTGCTATGACTTGCGTTCCTCTGACAACAGGCTAGTTTCAGCAGAGAGAGATGCTGAGAGCGCAAGTATCCTCCGCAGGGTCAGTGTCACCCCACCTCTAGCGCCTTTGACAGGATCCCGATACCCCACACAATGTACCTGTCAGTCTGGAACATAGAGCAGAAAGTAGTTTAGCTAGCTTCTGTTTAAAAAGCTGATGTGGAGAGATTCTGGGTAATTTGTGTGTGCTCATTTGATGGTTTTGAAACGGTCTGTGTAAGGATGTAAGGATTATTTAAATATGTTTTACAAGAAAATACTATTTCCGTCATTCTACTTCAGCATTTAGCATTTAATACCTTGGCTTACTTCTTTATAATTCTTTGTAAAATTTGTTTCAAGTAATTATTACTAATTACTCAGTATGACAGAAAATGCTTGTTTGCATGTATATATTGAAATAGTAAATATTTAGAAATTGGACAAAAGAACAAAAGCAATCAAATGTGAAATTAGTGGAAACTTGTGGAATTTCATGCTTTAGCACACTAGTTTATTTAAAAGTTGAACATTAAATATTAGCAAATGAATTATAACATTTATTTATAACATATTTTTACAATAAGAATTGTCAAGTAATTACTGATTATTATGTTTTTTTTATTAACAATATGACAGAAAAACAATTGAATTCCTATTTTCATGTATATAAGAATAAACATTCAGAAAAAGTAAAAATAAATCAAATTTAATAAATTTATTTAAATTAAGTAGTACATTTTCGAATTAAATAAAATAAAAAATTGTTAATAATAGTTTAATAATATTAATTAATATAATTGCCATAGCTTTCATTGATCGATTATTCAATATGACAGGTTCCTTTTATGTATTTCTGAAATTATATATTGCTGCAAGTACTTTCAAGTAATTATTACAATTAGGGATGCATGATATTATCGGACCAATATCGGAATTGGCTGATAATGGCTTTAAAGGGTTAGTTCACCCAAAAATGAAATTAGCCCATACATTACTCACCCTCAAGTCATCCCAGGTGTATATGACTTTCTTCTTTCAGACGAATCCAGTTGGAGTTATATTAAAAATTGTCTTTGATCTTTCAAGCTGTTTCATGGCACTCAGCGGGTGTTGCATGCATCAGTCCAAAAGAAGTTAGATAAAAAGTGCCCATCCATAAAAAAAGTGTCTCACACGGCTCCGGGGGGTGAACAAAGGCCTTCTGTAGCGAATCGATGCGTTTTTGTATGAAAAATATCCATATTCAAAGCGTAATAATCACTTTAATGTAGCTTGCGCTCACTGTTGTACACGGAAGCAGTTCCGGGCAGATGACGTATGGAGGTTGGCTTTGCGCATGAGCCGCTCAGAAGTGATGCACGTGGAAGCACAGGGGAGAGATCAAAACAAAACAACGGTCACTAATTAGAAGTACAAAACGAGGAATGTCAGAGTATTTCGATATAAGCCAAGAGGAGACTGGTTTCCTTTGCTAAAGTAAGGAAACTTTGCTTCCTTTGCTCCTGTTAACAAACGTTGGTTTTCACGAGACTCACTGGCGCATGCTCAGCAGTGTGACTCATTTTTGAAGCAAAGTTTTGCCTGAATGGTGATTAGATTCACTACTTTGGATGGCTGCATTTAAACTGAGAATGCAGGTACAGAATGACGGTTCGGTGTATAGGCCCTGTCCCAAATGACACCCTAAACCCTCGCGGTTTCCTCTGAGTCCGCACTTTCGTGACGTAATGCTGCTTTGACTGTCGGGTAGAAGTCTGCAGTGGAGCTCGCCCCAGTGCAGGCTCGGCAAAAGTGTGGATTGAGGACGCCTAGCAGCCGCAAAGGGGGCACTCGCGAGCACTCTTCTGAATGCTAAAATGATGAATGGGACACCCTACGGTCTCGTGGACTTAACGGGCGCGTGCTTGCGCCAGCCGTTGTAAGTCAGTAAGACCGCAAGTGCACATGAAGTGTTCCATTTGGGACAGGGCCATAGAGTAAACAGTAATAGCACGTGCAGTGGCAGCAGCGGCAACCACCCCTGGGTGCAAATGCCCGTTCGGTAAGGAGTTTTAATTCCTTAGGGGGCGCTGTTGGCCTACTTTTAATAAAATGAAAGTAAAATACACAATAAAACATTTAGACTGGGTTTCTGATTAAATAAAGCAGTAGGCTAATTGATGTCATAAAATCATGAGTATGTTTTGCTTT